GGTCTGTCATCGGTAATTAAATATTAATGGATTAAATTTTTCCAATCAAAAGACAGAGATTGGCAGAACGGATTAAAAACCCATAATCCAACTATATGCTGTCTACCACAGACTCACTTTAAATTCAAAGACAAATAGGTTGAAAGTGACAGATAAAAATATTCCCTGCAAATAGTAACCAAAAGAAGATAGTGGGATGGCTTGCTTATGGTGGTTTGAATTTTATAATTTTTCAACTTTACAATTGTGCAATAGTGACACACATTTAATAGAAACTATATTTTGAGTACTCATATAACCATTCTGTTTTTCACTTTCAGTAAGGTTTACAATAAAATACATGAACTGTTGAACACTTTATTATAAAATAGGTTTTGTAGTAGATGATTTGACCACTTGTAAGCTAATGTAAATGTTCTTATCATATTTAAGGAAAAGGCAAAGCTAAGCTACAATGTTCAGTGTACTAAATGCGTTTTTGAATTACAGTATTTTCAACTTACAATGGGTTTATTATGATATAACTCCATAATAAGTTAAGGAGAATCTGTACAACAAAATAGGCTTTAAATCAAAAACAGAAGAAATAAAGAAGGACATTATATATTAATAAAAAGTTCAATATAGCAAGAAGATATAACAATTGTAAACATTTACATACCTAATAAAAGACAACCAAAATATCTGAAGCAAAAATCTGATGAAATTGAAAGAAGAAGTAGACTGGGCATGGTGGCTCCTGCCTGTAATCTGAGTATTTTGGGAGGCCAAGGTGGTCAGATCACTTAAGTTAGGAGTTTGATACCACCGTGGCCAACATGGCAAAACCCTGTCTCTACTAAAAACACAAAAATTAGCCAGGCATGGTAGTGCATACTTGTAATCCCAGGTACTTGGGAGACTGAGGCAGGAGAATCTCCTGAACCCAGAAGGCAAACGTTGCAGTGAACTGAGATCATGCCCTGCACTCCAGCCTGGGTGACAGAGCAAGACTCCACCTCAAAAGAAAAAAAGAAAAAGAAAAAGAAAAAGAAAAGAAAAGAGAAAAGAAAAGAAAAGAAAAGAAAAGAAATAGACGGTTCTATAATAATAGTTGGAGACTTGAATACCCCACTTTCAATAATGGATAGAATCAGCTAGACTGAAGACAAGTGAAGGAACAAGAAATAACACAATTCCACTTCTAGGTGTAAACCCAAGAGAACTGGAAACATTTCCACACAAAATCTTATACATGAATATTCATAGAAGCATTATTGATAATAGCTAAAAAGAAATGTATAAGCAATGCAAATTTATCTCAGTGGATGACTGGATAAAGAAAATGTGATAGAGCCATACAATGGAATATTATTCAGCACTAAAAAGAAACAAAAGTACTTGACACATGCTATATCATGGATGCATTCTGAAAACATGATGCAAAATAAAAGAAGCCAATACAAACAACCACATATTGTATGATGCTTGTTATATAAACATTTTAAAATAAGAAAATCCATAGAGATTGAAAATAGATTAGTTTTGGTCAGGAGCTGAGGGAAGGGGGAAGTAGGGACAGGAAATATGATTTTTTTTTTGCAATGTGAGAATATTCTAAAATCAGATGGTGGTGATGGTTATACAACACTGATATATTGAAAACTGCTGAATGTACACACTGAAAGAATGAATTTTATGGTATGTGAATTATATCTCAAAAAATCAGTTATTTAGAAAAGTACATGAGAGGGATAATGCATTTTCATCTGAAATAGAAGATTTAGGATCTAGTTATCAAAGATGTGATAAGAGAACAGAATACTTTAAGCTTTCAGCACATCAATTTACTCTCTTTTCATTTTAACTCCTGATCAGAGTTCTAGGTTATTTTATTGTGTTCCATATTATTTTTAACCCAAAATGTCTTGGTTGGCAGAAGAGTTTTTCCCTTTCCTTAAAGTTAAATATATATTTAAATAGTCATAAAATACATAAGGACAAAATGGTAAAATTAAAAACCCAGATATAGAATTCAACCTAGAAAAATTCCTTGCTGAAACACAGTTTGACCATTAAGTATGGCCCTTCTCCTTTACCACATTATAATTTGTTTTCAAAATGTAACTAATATAACTCCAGAAGTACCAGAAATCACACAAAGCTTATTTCATGTTCATAAAACCTAGCTATGCTACACAGAGTAATATGGGGGGTATTCTGGTTAAAGCTTTATGAAATGCAGGATTCTATGTCTTGGCATGACATTGAGGACCCCCAAGAAGAATGTCTTAGGGAAAGACTATTTCTTGGTACTTTTCTTACCCAGGATATTTGGATAGAATAGAATGTCTAGCCATTGTATTTTGGACTGAAGTATATTTAAGTAGCTTTAACATATTCCAGGAATTGAAAATACCATCTTAATGTGAGAATAATAATAAAAGAGGAGGATAAAAGGAAACTCTCTTCTAGGCGTTAATACAGATCTAAGACAGTAAGTGATACGTTAAGTAAAATTGGTGAAATAAACATCAAGTGGTAGAAGTGTGATCAGGCATTTTTAACAAAAGTGATACATCATATATTAAAATTTAAAATGACTACAGTTCATTTATTCATTCAACAAATATTTTATTACACATTGCCTATACAGCAATAAAAACAACAACAACAACAACAAAAGTCTACTCTTCCTTCTCTTCTAGAACTTAAAATTTTTTAAAATAATCCTACTGCAAAGAAAACAGTAAGATTAAACGATAAGGAAAAATTTGAAAGAGCACTCATCTTGGAATTCTAAGATCTGAATCCAAATTTCATGTCTACTAGTTACTAGGCAAGTGATACTGAATACATTAACTAATTCCTCTAAGCCTCAATTTCACACCTTGAAAAGTGGTGTATGCTATTACCTGTCTGGTGTATTTCATCCAGTTAATTATAATGATCACAGAGAAAAATATTCAAAAGTGCCCTAAAACCCTTAAAGTTCTATAATCACAGGCTTATGCTATTACTGGAATGTGCAGAAAGCTATCAGATTTCTTGCAATAAATAATTTTAGTTGATACTGACAGTATACTAAAAGTCTATGTGGCCAGATAGTAAAGACTAATGCTAACTGTCAAGTACATTGACAACATAAAATGACACACATGCAAGGGTTTCAGCCTTTCTCCATTTAACCATTCTAATTTCACCTGAATTTCCTCTACATGTCAATTTATGCTCATATTCACAAGCAATGTTCCAGCCATAGGAAGAGCAAATGAGTCAGGCTCCTATGAAACTTCCAATCTGAGGAACAACTGCACATGCCTCTCGTCAATCCTGTTTGAATCTTTAATAATGGAACATTCAAAATAAAGACAAATATACTTAGTAAAAGAAAATAACAATTACTGTAATTGTAGCCACATTAACTTGACTGAGTTTTTATCTAAACTACTCTGTACTTCTGATGAAAAATTCTGTTTGTCATAATAATAAGAATAACGAAGTGCTTAAGACATGACTAAAAAATAAAACCTCACAATTACAACCATGAGGAAAATAAATTTAACTTGGCATAATTCTGGTTTGCAAAAATGCTATCAGATAATGAACCCAAATCCATTTGAATCACTGGTAAATACTAAGCCCCAAAACAGTTAATACATATACGTACTCTGTGAAACAGTGGAATCCAAACTGTCTCTTTTTCGTTGGAGAAATAGAATCATCCTGCTTTTCCTCAAACACTGGCAAACATATACTGTGATAGCTAAAAGTCAGCTTAATCCTTCTTTTCCTAGCTCAAAATAAAAATAGATACACTGTCTCAGATCTAAGATGTGATATCCCTTTGTGGGTTTTTGTGAAAGAGAGAGAAACAAGAAAATGATAATGGGTGGATGGGCTTTGTGTAATTTTCAATCACATAACCTTGTTTTACAAAGTAGAAATGAAGAGGCAAAACAATTATGAAGAAAATTCTGGCAGTGGCTGTACTGTGCTCCGATTATTTTTTAATTAGCATTGGTTGTATCAGAGCTAAGCTTCTTGGAATTTTCCACACAAATCCACTCCCACCGAGTATTTTGGAAGGGTAGTAGTAACTTTATCAAAAGGTAGAGTCACATTTCAGAGCATGTCATCTGCCAGCTCTCACCATCTCATCATGACCCATGCCCACGCTTTCTGTCTTTTCTCTCACCCAGCTCTTCTTCTGGAATAACTAACAAATCCTTCCCTTTGCCTTCATGCAGAAGAGTTTGGCACATGCCATTTTTCTCAAGGTGTGATTTTTTTTTGTCATTCGCCAACATGTAAAATAAAATTTTTCAGCCAATAATAGAAGGTGAAGAGGGAAGCAAGAAAAAAAAAAGAACACAAGAACATCTCAAAAGTAAGTAGGGGAATAGCCGCCATTAAATCACTCAGCATCCTCTTATCGAATTGGTCCTCCTGCAAGGGACCAACAACAGTCAGTGAGTTAACTTACTTATTAACCATCTCAAAATAAGTAACTTAAAACTCCAAAACTGAAGCACAAACTTTCACAGATAAACCACTACAAAATCAATACCAGTATATTAGGGCAACAAGCATACATTTTCAGATCTCAGAAATATTGAATGGCATTGATACATTTTCATTTCTTACTCAGTTCCTACCTGAACGTCTGGGCTGATGGCTTTTCATGTTTAAGAATAGGGCACTAGGCTAGGCTTGCCAAATAACAAAGGGATATCACATCTTAGGTCTGAGACAGTGTATTTATTTTTATTTTGAGCCAGGAAAAGAAGGATTAAGCTGACTTTTAGCTATGAGAGTATATGTTTGCCAGTGTTTGAGGAAAAGCAGGATGATTCTATTTCTCCAACCCAAAAGACACAGTTTGGATCACTGTTTCAAACTGAGCAGAGATTTTCCTGTGTGACTGACACATGATTGTAATTGAAAGCACTGGTTGCCAAACTTTAAAACCTACCTGTAGAACATTAAAAGCCTCTAGCATGTGTCACCTTTGGACTTACTTGTATTCCTGTGACTTTGGTCCCCTGGGAGAGAAGCATCCGTAGTCCAGGCTGGAATGTGCTGGTTGGGATGTGCAGTAGACACCAAATTGCTCTGGTTATAAGCTGTATTGATAAGAATGATATCGGACCCTTGTACTTCACCATCAGTGACCAAAGGTTCACTCCCATTTGATTTAAAATAGGCTTTTTGTAATGTTCCTGAAAGACAAAAAAAGTGCATATTTTTGAAACATTACTAGAAGTATCTATTTTAAAAAAACATTAAGAAAACTCTAGAGCTACTTTCCCATATGTCATTCTAGCCAGATAAACACAAAGACAAAGATGAAAGCTACAGCAATGATCTCCTTCTTGGGGTCAACAATCACAAAACCAAGAGTTTCTCTTCCACCACGAATCACACAGCCCTGTGAGGAAACGTGGCTTCCTCAAGAGCTTATGGTTTAGGAACTGAGTCTCCTATCAAGGTTTCCTGATGCTTCAAGAATTTAGGGCAATTCTACCTTACCTGAGACTCATCACAAATAAAACGTGTTGAATCTTAACAGCATTCTCTTCCTGCTTCCTCCGTTTCTTAATCTCCCTGGTCATTGCATGTTACTCAAGACCCAAGACATGTGCTCTACCTATCTCTATATCCATCATCAAAGGACACAACGGGGCTTGCCTTCAGCTTTATATTTTCCCACATTTTGCACTAATTTTCAGTAAACTATGCATAACACTCAAATAGAAAATAAGAGGGCTCATACATTTACCAAAACTTCTATCATAGGAATAAAAAAAAACCCTCTAGTTACAGCACAAACTAAAAGAAGAAACTAAATTATCTTCATCTTCAACCAGAAAATAAAAATGTAATTATATGAAATAAGAAATACTCATTTTAAAAAATTTGCTTCCATTGGTTATTGGGGAACAGGTGGTGTTTGGTTACGTAAGTTCTTTAGCGGTGATTTGTGAGACTTTGGTACACCCATGCACCCTGCGAAGTTTAGCACATGCCACGAGCAGTGTACACTGCACTCAACTTGTATTTTATCCCTCACCCCCTTTTGTACCTTCCCCCTGAGTCTCCAGAGTTCATTGTGTCATTCTTATGCCTTTGTATCCTCATAGCTTAGCTCCCACGTATGAGTGAGAACACACAATGTTTGGTTTTCCATACTCTTGAAACTAAGATTATCAACTGACCACTTTCTCAGGGTATCCATTCATCAACAAAACAAAGAACCAAACCTAAGATTATTGAAAACTACCTTGCTTTGTCTTTAGGAAGAAGCAATTTAAAACTTTGAAAGAGATCATGTATTTTTAACTCAGTCAAAACAGACAGCAGATTGTGTTTCCAGAATATCGCACTATACTTGAGCATGCCACGAAAATAAATGAATGTGATATTGACCCATCCATAGAAATACCAAAGGGAGATTTTCTTTTCTGAAAGAATTTACAGTGAATGCTCCAACTGGCTCTCACTTTTCTAAATAGTCCCAAGGACCATTAAAAATAAAAAATATATAAATAAAATGTGTAATATCAGTCTATGGAAAAAATTTCTCTACATATGCTTGACACTTGGAAAACATTAACTACAAATAAAAATAGGAAAGCAGCTGTTTCTAGCTAACTGAGTTCAACAGCTTCATCTGCCAAAAGATTCTAAATAAAACATTGAAGCATAAAAGCTAAATCATGACCACATAATGCAGGTAATATGCTCTCCAAACCGTCAGTGTGATCATGAGAAAAAGTCAAATGCCATAGGTGAATGAAGGGATTCATTTAATTGCTATTGATTTTCAAAAATGATTTGAAATTTATCCTAATCAAATGTATGTGGTAGGCTTAACTACTATAGGAAATGTATTTAATCCATACAGAGAGTTTACTAATCAATTACCTATCATTTTATTTATATCCATTTCTTAATTGCTCTCTTCCTTGCGTATTTTTGGCCTAAAGAGATTTTTTTTACATAAGGTGGTATTTATGCTAATGTGGTTGTAATGAACATGTAGGCCCATTAAGTTGATTTATTTATCTTCCTGAACCTATGAGTAAGCATCCAGTTCTGTCAACATACTTTGAGAAAATGCCAATTGCTCACAGTTGTACCCTGTAATAATTTCCTTAAAATGAGTTCCCTGTCATATAAAATATTTCGACAATTGTTCCTAACTTTTTTGGTAAAAATTAGCCATATTAATAATCTTTCCTTTATCATTTTAACTTTTCCTCTATCATTTTAGCCAAGCAGTGTTTAAAGTGTTCATAACATCTGGCTTGGCGCCATGGCTCACACCTGTAGGACCAGGCCCCATGACTCACACCTGTAATCCCAGCACTTTGGGAGGCTGAGGCAAGTGAACCACCCGAGGTCAGGAGTTTGAACTAAAAATACAAAAAAAAAAAAAAATTAGCAGGGTATGGTGGGGGGCACCTGTAATCTCAGCTACTAGGGAGGCTGGGGCAAGAGAATTGCTTGAACCCTGGAGGTGGAGGTTGCAGTGAGCCGAGATCGCAGCATTGCACTCCAGCCTGGGCAATGAGAGTGAAACTCTGTCTCAAAAAATAATAATAATAATAATAATTAATAAAGTTTTTGTAACATCTGTTTATCCTAAGGAGTCCTCTGAAACATTGACATTTTTAAGAAAACACTGACTTGGATAACAACTTACTTTTAAAAAGGCAACTTCCTTGCTTTTAAACTCTGTGTGTTGAAAGCACTTTGGCAGAATAGAAAGATAATATATGAGAGTTACTGTAGTTAATGTTTTTATATTTTGGGGGGAGAAAAAGAGGGAGAGAGAATAAACTTGAAGGACATGTCTTTAAAAGCCTGAACTCACTGGACAATTTGTTTTCAAGTATCTCTGGAAACTGACCAAATCCCAACACAGCTGGTTGTCTACTATGCATTTTTTTTGAGCACAAGAATTAGACTCAATAAAACTAAATGCTTTCAACCTGTACCACGATAAGCTATAAAAACGCTAGGAGCTATTAGCCCAAAGTAGAGTAATTATTCTTCTAATATTGCACCATTCTTTTCTACATTTCTGTGCTTATTGTGCTATGGTTAAAAATACAGTTTCTACAGCCTGACCACCTGAGTTTAAATCCCATCTCTACTACATGCCCTGAAACTTTGGACAGTCTCAATTGCCATAAAAGAAGGAAAAATAAAATACCCCCTTATGAGGCTGGCTGTGGTGAGACAGCCAAGCAAAAATGGTTCCCGGACAGAACCTCTGACGGGGCCGGGTGCGCTCAGGAGCCTCAGGAGGTTTGCACTGTCTGCAAGGAGGAGGAGCCTGGCCTCTCCCGTTTCCGGGTTGTATCTGAGACTCAATTTGTGAGGCGGGAAACCAGGTAGCAGGACTCTCACTTTGTGGAGAGTCCCTGTTTCCCTTTTTTTTTCCTTTTCGCTCAATAAATTTCATTTTTCTCACCCTTCAAAGTGTCTACGAGCCTAATGTTTCATGGCTGTGTAATAAGAACCTAGCTTTTAGCTGAACTAAGGAGAAAGTCCTACAACATTGGGATCAGATCAGTCAGTACCTATATAAACACTTTGAATGGCTCTCGGCACTAAATTCTCCGTAAACTGTTAGTCATTACTACACATTGATGGTAATGACAATAAAACTGTCTTCCTTAGGGCTACTAAGGTAATTTTAGGTAAATGACAATTTCCTTTTACTATAAGTGAATCCCAGTGTCACAAAATGACGAATTTTCAGAAGTGAATCACTTAGCCCACATTTGGAGTGAGAGAACTATGGCTTTTTCATGCTAAATTATTAATAGAAAGTCACATTGTATTGAGATTGTCTGGCTCAAAAGTGTTTCAGCTCTATAGCCAAAACAACAATTTGATGATATTTAAGAAATAGTAGATAATTCTAACACTAAGTGTCAGACTTTGCTGATTCCTGTAATGAAGAGATTGAGCACTGTGTTGGGCAGAATAGTGCACCCCCAGAGATGCCACATCCCAATTACTAGAACCTGTGAATATGCAGCTTTACATACTTTACATGGTGAAAGGCAAGTTGCAGATGTGTTTAAAGTAAGAATTTTGAGATGAAGGGACTATCCTGGATTATTCTGGTGAGCCCAATGCAATCAAAAGTTTCTTTGTAAGCAGAAGAGGGAGATAAGAGAATATGTGTCAGGGACATGAACTGTGAGAAAAACTCAGTAGACCATTGCTTGTTTTGAAGACGGAAGGAGCCACAATCCAAAGAATGCAGGAAGCTCTAGAAGCCAGAAAAAGTAAGAAAACAGATTGTCCCGTAGAGTCTGCAGAAGGAACACCTAAATTTTGCCCAGTGAGACCTATTTTGAACTTCTGACATTTACTCTAAGATAATAAATTTGTGCTATCTTTTTAAGCTACCAAGTATGTGATAATTTGTTCCTGGAGCAATAGGAAATTAATACAAGCACCTTGCTAAATGCCCTCATTATAGGCATCAAATGAGTTAACCTTCCAATAATCCTATAAAACAGATAATATAATTAATCATTTTGACACAGTTTTAGAGAGATAGAAACTGAAGTTTATGAGAGTGAATTGCCCAAGATTTGAGTTGGGACATGACAAATAGACATATACATATGCCCCCACACACTTCATTCTGGACAAAATATACAGGTTTTAAAAATCAACCATTATGTGCTTGTAGAATTTATCTTCCTATGATGTGATTTTAAAATTAGTTTCCTAGCTTTGTATCTTTAGCCATGTGAAACACATTTACTTTGCATTTTCTATGTGCCAAGAACTTCATACTTACTCTGCTGAGAACATAACATTTAGTAAGAGGTCCTTACTATCAAGATGTTCATAGATTAGGTTGAGATCCTTACTATCAAGATGTTTATAGATTAGTTGAGGGAGATAGGCATGCAATCTAAAACATATTGATATAAATTATGCTACAAGCACTTTGAGAATGTTATACATAGGACAATCTGGTAGCAAAACGCAGAGAGAGAATCCTCATTACATTTGAATAAGTCAGGAAAGCCTGTTTAGAGAAGAGTATTCTAAATGTGAATCTTAAAAGATGATGAGGGATTTTCTAAGTTTAAGCAAAGTATTTGTGGGGAAGGGGAGTGCCGTGGCAATAGGGAATGAAACATTTTCTAGGTAAAGGAAAGGGAAAAACATATGAAAAGGCCCA